TAATAATAATGTATGATTTTTTCTTCTTTCTGCAGTCTTTCATTTTATTTGTGATTTGTATTGTTTGTTGTGCAGCCTAAAGAATTTATTTTGCTTTAAATGAAAATGAATAAAGAACTTGAACTTGAAAAAAAGTATAGATACTAAGGTTTAAAAATACTTCTTTAGAAGTTCAATTATCAACTCAAGCTTTTTACTGAAGTAAAAATATAGAAGTACTGGTTTTAAAACTAGTATAAAAGTAAAAATAATGTAAAGGAAAAAAAGCCATTAGGGACAGAAGCTTACAACCAGAGCATTTAACCATCAAGCAAACTCATAATAACTAATGTGGTAAGTAATTTAGGTTTACCAACTAAATATGGAGTTATGAGGACCATCAAGGCCAGTTTAAGTACCATTTTATTTTTATTAGATTTTTATTCATTAATTGACTTAAACCACATTCATAATAATTTCAGCACAAAATCACAATGTACAAATAAAAACTTTTAGCCCTCACAACTTATACCTCTTAAAAAACCCGCTACCGACTGTTGTTGCTCTTATTTTGAAATGTAACCGGAAGCGAAAATAATGAATGGAGACGACGTTCGGTCTGACACTGGCAAAGTTTTGTAAATAATAAATAAAGACATTACAGATACCAGCAAGTAACATAATCTGCTTGTTATAATTATTCCCAAGTCTTCTCATTACTTCGGTAACAACAGCAAGTTMGTGAAACTAATAAAGAAAATAAATATGAAAGTGCGTTGCTAAGGGCGGTAGAAAAGTAAGCTAATAATGAAGAAACGCCTAAGCAACGATCATCCAATTAGGTGGTGCTGTACAGTAACGCCCCTTTTGTTCTTGACCAATCCGATTGTGCCGTACGGTGATGCACCTTTTTTTGCTTGTGTGTTGCTTTAGAATCACCTTTCGTTGGGACATGCCCACTCATCCGCAGAGACCCCTACTTGCACAGAACTGCCGCTCACTGGATGTTTTCTCTTTATCGGACCATTCTCTGTAAACCCTAGAGATGGCTGTGGGTGAAAATCCCAGTAGATCAGCAGTTTGTGAAATACTCAGACCAGCCTGTCTGGCACCAACAACCATGCCACATTCAAAGCCACTCAAATCACCTTTCTTCCTCATTCTGATGCTGGTTTGAACTGCAGCAGATCATCGTGGCCATGTCTACACCTAAATGCATTGAGCTGCTGCCATGTGATTGGCTGATTCTGCATTTGTGTTAATGAGCAGTTAGACAGATGTACCTAATAAAGTGGCCGGTGAGTGTATATTCAACACATTCTCACTCCCAACTCGTCACATATAGACGGTTTTTCTGGTACCCTCGGCGTCACATATTGACGG